TACCCTGAAGCCCAAGTTGACCAGCCCAGAACACACGTGGCGACAGGCAAGGCAGAGTGGACTAGTGACCAGTGGATGGACTCCTCTGCCTGCAGAGGTCCACTCCCTCTCCACCACTGTGGCCAAGTGGAAGGCGGGTGCCCCCGCCCAGCCTGTCTGCACTGGCAGCCGAGTCCCTACCATGCTCTCTGGAGCAGTATCGTGTCCCAGCTTGACTGCAGGGCTCACTGAAAGACACCCTCCTCATAGGCTCCAAACTGATTTTAAAGAGCACTCGCAGTCCACCGGTTGAGCCTCAGAAATGTAGTCAGGGAACCCATTTGCTGATCCCTGCACATCCAGGAAATAGCAGCCTGTCCAACCTTTCCCCCTTCGAGTGCCTGACGGGGTGGGGAAGCCATTTCCAGAAGCCCGGCTAGTTCATGATATAAAACATCCGGAGACTTTGACGAGGTAAAACGCCATCCTGCCTGGGGTCTCACTCGAGACTAGTCTCCATGTTACAAAGCAATGGACAACAGTCCCATAATTCACTCCGAGTCTCTTAGGACAAAGACTTCTCTTTGGAGCATCATTTCCACAGCTTCTCTGTGCCTTGCAGCAGACAAACCCAAAGGAGAATTTTACAAAGACCAAGAACCTTGGTTTTCCTTCCAGAAAACAAAATGACCTTTGACTTCGCACACACCACAAAGGGGAACCAGCAATCACTTTTTCCAATGCGCACAGTCGGCCTGCATCTGATGATTTCTTTTTTTTAATGTAAAGCCATCTTAAAAGTACTGTAAACTGGTTATACTTGGTCATTGTCTTAACGCCTTGGCCTTAATACAAGTCAAGGGGCTTATGGGACTTTCATGGTACATTAGACAGGCCTGGTCTCACAGAGGTGCTGCCCAAATCCACTAGACCCCCCCTCTCTTTGTTGCGGCGCCCCGGGGCTCATTCCAGGAACGGGGCGAGTTTGCGGGTCAAGGAGGCCACAGCTGTGACCACGTCATCAGTGGCCACCCCGGGGCAGATGGTACATTCCTGTCAGCATAGCACTGGAGAGCCTGTTCAAGTCCAAGTGCCCTTCATGTACTCGGGCCGTCAGAAAGCCTTTCCAGCAGTAACTTTCCTTTGAGGGGCATGTAAGAGCCAAGAACCAGGCTGGGGTGGGTGGGAAGGTGCTTCCTTTTCTTATGTCCTCGCGGGTAAAGAGACCAAAATTCGCAGAGTGACAGTGTGGCTGTGCCCGCAGGGCCCCCAGCGAGTAGGTCGGGTTGAGCCTCAGCTGTGAAGCAGGCCCTTCCTCCTGCATTCGGTCAGGGCTCGGCTACGAGGCCTCCAGGCACACCGTTGGACAGCGTGTCTGCTGACCTGTCTGGGGACACTTTGGTTTCCCCCACATGTGGAGGCAAACATGGGGAAAAGCTGTGCCTAACATCTTCCGTTGTCCAAGTCTGTGCACAGGGGCTACGCCGGGCCCAGCCAGGACACTTCTTCCCGCGCACATGTGGGATGACATCACGCAAACCAGACGCCACCGCTCAGCTGCGAGAGAACCAGCGTTCCGGCGGGGCTCGGAGGAGCGCTTTCAGGCCTCTTCCGGCTTTGTGAAGCGTGCCCTGGCTGCAGCAGCAACAGCAAGGCTGGCCCCTGGAAGAGGTTCAAACCCAGGGCTGGGCCAGGCTATTCCCGGGAGGCCCCAGCCATCTCTCAGTGATGTTTACCAAGCTCCCTGAGCCAGCAAGCCAGGTGGGCAGCAGAAGGAGCCCAGACTTCCTCATCCCTCCGACTCCCAGGCTTGTTGCTTTCTGACCCTGTGGCTGTGTGAGCAAGACTGGCTGGGCCAGGCTCTCAAAACAGCCCCAGCCACACACAACAGAACCTGCTGGGCCTAGGAAGTCCAGGGTCATGGCGACTGCCGGGTACTCAGATGCCCTTGAGTCTGCCAAGTCAACAGCAGCTAGCTACCTCCTGCTGCAGGCGGACCGCGCATCGCTCTGCATTGCTCTGCGGGATGTGGCCACCCTGCCAGTCAGCGCCCTGGTTCCGCTTCCAGCAGCACGCGCACACACTCACTTCAGGTCTCGG